GAAAAAGGGACTTTTTCTCCTGCCCCCTTCCTTGCCGGGTGCCATGCCAGGCAGAGCAGTGGGTACTTGCATCTGCTTGAAATACTCTCTTAGGAGCTGGAGCACTAGATAAATCTGCCGCGTGTGTTTATCCAGCTCCTCTCAAACCTCTGGGAACTGGATCCCTTCTCTTATAAAGCAAAACAAATCAAACACTGGTTTCTAACAGGAATCCTTTGGTTTTTTCCCTCGATTTTCCACCCCTCTGTGGCCGTCCTTATCTTGAATTTGCTACCTCTATTTTAAGATCAAATGAGAGCTGAATGTGTTATAAACTGGTTTTAATGGGGTTGCCCTTGGCCGGCACCTCTCAGGATCCATCCTGTGGCACACGCAGAGGAGAAGCAGCTCCTGTGGCACCTGGGCAGCAGTTCCCGTGTGCTCCTGGGCTACGTGCTGTAAATCACAGCATGTGTTTAGGCAGCCCTCCAAAGAGATGATATAATCTTTTCTTTCGTTTCTTGCAAAAGATGTTGCTGTGGGTGATATCTCGGCGCTCAGTTAACCCTGCGGGTTTTTGGGCAGCGGCTGCGGGGCCGTGGCTGCCGAGCGGGGCCGTGGCTGCCAAGGGGCTGGCCCCTCTCCAGGGAAACAGATTTAATTAATTTTTTAGGGTGTGTTTGCCCCGGCAGTGATAGCAGGGAGAAGAAGGGCAGGAGAGACACCATCCTTGCCCGGGGAAGATGTAGTGGCCCTGGGGGGCAGATGAGCAAGCTGAGCGTGGGGACTGGATGTCCTTCCACAGCATCACCTTGCTCAGACTTCTTTTCTCCCCTTAAGCAACCGGCGTCCTAGCAAACCCCTTCCTTTTGCCTTCGCTCTTTAATAATGACCCAAGAAAACTGTGCGAAGCCACTCCTGCATTTCAGGGCTGAAGGCAGGTCCGTCCAGCCCTGGCAGGGAGGGGTCTGGGGCATCGTAACAGCCCTGTTTGGTTTCTCATGAGCAGAACCATGCAAAAAGCTGGAAATACGGGATGGGAAATTATTGCAAGCCGGAAACAATCACAAACTGGTTGCGCTCCCCGTAGCTGGCTCCCGGCGCACTGGAGGTGCTCACGTCAGCTTTCCTTTCTGCAGCGAGCTGATGCATAACCACCGCGATTGCTCAGCGAAGCCTCCGCTGAGAAATGGATGTGCAGGGGCTCCTATTTTTACAGACCAGATAGAAATTGTTTCTAGCTTATTTTTATTTAATTGTTGCGTCTCTCAACAGACTGATAGGCGCTTTGCATCACCCAAGCTTGTTTTATCATACCATTACAAGCCTGTAGCAACGGTTTTATGGCACAGCACTGGACTGGGGCGGAGGAGGGCTGGTTTAATTCCCGGCTGTTACATCCCATGCATGCCCTCGGTCTTCACTTCACCATCTGTGATCTGGGGATGAGTCTTTCTTTCTCCCACACTTTGCATTTCTCTGTAAAAACTCAGTGCTGCTGGAGGAAGGGCTTTCCTTTGGCTGTGCCAGTGCGGGTCTGAGCACAGCGAGGTTTCTGGCAGGTGTACGATCCTTTCGAGTCCCATCATATCAGCTCAGAGTGTTTCCTCCTCCCATGCCGTGCTCCCGACATGCCAGCTCCTCTGAGCTGCCCTCATCCCCATGGTCACGGTGCTGCTGATGCTTACGGGTCACTCTGTGTCTCATCCAGCAAGGGTTTCCCATGCAACTATTCAATCACGGCTACGGGGCAAAATCACGCTTAAATCATCACATTTGAAAGAAATAATTGAAATCCTGCATCTTCCTAATTCTTCTGGGCTTTGAAAAGGAAACAAAAAAAACTCAAAAAGCCACTTTTAAATGTGGTCTTGTGATTTTTTCTGTTTTACCAGGCATTCTCAGGACGGTAGGACACATGTGGAGCGGGGAGCACCAGTTGAAAACCTGCAGGACTCCAGAGCAAGGGTTGGCTTTCTTAGGTGTCTCATCCCCAAACGCCGTATTCCCGTGCTTCCTCCAAAGTCTTGCTTGTGTGTGTGTGGGACCTGCTTGGACCATGTCTGGGTGAATGTGGCTTGGAAAATCAGCCGATAATGGAGCCCACGGACCCTGTACCCAGACAGGGTCTCCTTTCCCCCACTGGCCTCTGTATTTTGCTTCAAAATAAGGTCTAAAAAGCCTGTGAAGCAGCCGTTTGCATGGCAGTTTTGGCCAGGGGGGGCAGGCTACCGCTTGGCCTCTGCAAGGAAATGCTTGGGGATGGTGTCCAGCGTGGGACCTTCTGAGGCTTAAATCTGAGGGATGGCCAAGGGTATTCAGTTGAGGGATGCAAATGTGTAGCTGGGAGTTCTGCTGATTCAGGTTTTGCATGGAAAATTTTCTGCTTTGATCAGCTTTAGATAAGTTGTGTTTCCATTACACTGGGTTTTCCTTGTCCTTGAAGCGGCAGAAAGCTGCGACTCTTCAGTTTTCACCATGGTCTGTGTTTTACACTTCTCTCCCCATCACTCCGGTCACTTCCAGCCTCTCATCTTGCATGCTTTGCATGTATTGCTGCCTTCATCCATCTCTGGCCCCTCTGAGGTTTCTGTGCTCTCAGTTTTGGGAGGCAATGTTGAGTGTGAGACAGCAAGCAAAAGTGCACAGCCGAGCTAGGCTGGCTTGGTGCAACCTGCAGATGTTCTGGTCAGGAACGTGGAGATGTTCTCCAAAGCTCTCTCTGGTGTCCGTCACACAGATACAGGCTGGCAGGCTCACAAGGGCTGACCACCCTCAAGGACCTCTTGCCCTAGTATTTTTAATATTTGCCGTCCTCTGTGCATTTAAGTGTATTGCTTTCTGAGCCCAGTGGCATGCAGGAGGAAGGTTTCCAGGCATCTGTGCCAAGGCCTTGCAGAAGTCTCTTTTCTGAGTAGTTCTCAAAAGGTACAAAACCCAGACAGGACACTGAGGTAACCCCGGTGCTCGTGCCCCTCCGTGCGCCGTCAGCCTGCTGCCACGGCCACACCGCTCCCCTCCTGCCTTCCTGCACCATCCCTTTTCTCCTCATCTTCACCATCTCGAAGCAAACCCATCGCAGGTGTCGGTGTTGCCACTGTGGTGGTTTCACTTGTTTTCAGCACGTTAAGCAGCAGGCCCTGCCTGGGTGCTGTTTCTCCCCTGTGCCGTGGTAAAAGCAGGGGCAACTCAAGAAGCGTGTGCTTTCTGCAACACAGCTACACAACTGCCCCGACAGCAGCAGCGTCACTGCAGATCAGTAGCTTTGATGCACAAGAATTGTCTTGGCGTGTTTTGTCGCAGATTAGCATTTATGCAGCCGTTTGTCCTTACACCTGGTGAGAACGGCCACCCCTGGGCGATTTTGCAGGAGCTGCAAGGTGGTGGCCTTACCACTGGGTACCTGTCCCCACCTGTCCCCTCCCCGGTGGGCAGCACGGTGCTCCGCAGCCTCCTGCCACCACAGCTGACGTGCAGGCGAGATTGCACCCTTGGGTGAGCATCTCCACTGCTGAGATTGGGCCTCTTATCTGCAAAATCGGTGTCATCTTTATGCTTTAAGATCGTCCCAGAGGAGAGCAGCTGGCAGAGGTGGCTGTGCACTGACAAGTGTGTCACACTCCCTGCCAGGGCCAGCCGGGGCTCTGCATCCCTCTGAGACAGCCTTGAAATCTGCAGGGACCAAAATCTCCGTGTCCCATCACAAAAAACCTGCAGCGCGTAGCAAAAAGAAGCTGCTCACCCTCAACGCCCCCGTGCACCCACACCTGGGGATGAGGGCAGCCCTTGAACCCCCCCCCGGGAGCAAAGGGGCTGCTGCAGCTGCCCGTTTTCCCTGCGGAGGAGGCAGGCGTCCCTCTCCTCGGCGCGGCAGAGAGCCAGGAGCAAGCACCCGGGGCCGTGGCTGCCCTTGTAGGGTAATCTCTGTGCCGAGCTACCTTGGCTGGGCGCTGGCGCCGGAGGAGGAATGTGTCCCCACGGGCCAAGTTGTTGGCTTGAGCTGTGGGATGCTCTGAAGGAGAGTGGCACCACACCTTTCAATGCCGGAATCTCTCCAGATTGGATTTTACAGCTCTGCTGCCTTGCTTTTTATTTTATTTTTCCTCTCTCCTTTTTTTTCTGTGTGTGCACGTGCCATGCTTTAGAAATGGAAGAGCAGAGGGAAGCTCTAGGTGCTGCTGTCCTGGTAGTGCAAAGGAATAGCAGGAGGATTTGCCTTTTGTTTTTCTCCTGGGGTCTGGGAAGCTCAGGGCTGAAGCTCGGGGTGCCCTGGTGCAGTGGGAGAGATGTGCAGTTTTCAGAGCTACGTGGGCTGCAGCGTTTCCCTCAGCGGAGGGAGCGATCTCGGCTGGCAGCTGCATCCCTCCAGCATCACCTTTTACGGGAGCCCGTTAAGAGGGAAGTCAAAAGCAATAAGGAAAACACCCCGAAAGGCCTCGGCTGTTCTGGTGGGGAGCAGATCTTGTAGGAGATGAGCTCGCATTGTTCGGTTGCAGGTTTGCAAGTGTTGAAGGACTGTGACAGCCCCGAGAAACTCGGCAGTGTGAGGCAGGATCCAGATGGGATCGGGTGGATTCCGACCACCTCATCAATCCTGCAAATAGGTCCGTGGATTCCCCCTGCTCCTGTCACCGGTGTGCGGAGAGGAGAGCCAGACACATTTGAGCATTTAGGGACCTGCAAATTAAAGCAGATTATTAAAGCAAAGTGGGTGCTGGACCCTCGGCTGCTTGCAGTTCTTCTGGAAACACCCGACTCGCTCTGTGCCGGGGGGGGTTACTTAGAGGCCTGAGAGTAACGTTTTGAAGAGTACCCGCTGTGGTTAAACGCTCGCTGTCGGTGCTGCAGCCGTGTCCCCTTCCTGTCCCTGCCTGCCGTACGGCGCGGCCGCCCCCCTGTTTGCACAACCACAGGGTGAAGCATTTGGAGGAAGTGCTGTGGCTGGCAAGTAACAGCCGGTGTGTCACCCGGCGGGGACTGTTCAGCTGCCGGAGCTGCTGAAGAGACACCCCTGCGACTCAGAGGAGATGAATTTTGATCGTTGCAATGAGATTTAATACAGCGCCATCGCCAGCATCCCTGCTTCGCTCTGAAGCCCGCAGTGCGGAGGTCATCCAGAGGGGTGCTGCCATGACAGCAATCAATTTTATCTCAGGACACGAGGGCTGAGCTCTCCAGCCAGTGCTGGAAAGAAATTTTGGCAGAAGTTGCGAAAAAGTTTTTTTTCTTTCTCTCTTTCTCTCCTGTTATTTATTAATTTCCCTGGAAGCTTGTCGGCACCAGGGTTGGCAGCGTGGGAGCTGAGCTTTACTGGTAACCCCAGGCAGGACCCCTATTTATCAAGAGCACAGTAACAGCGGTCGTCTGCGAGATGTGTTTGGTGATGTGTGCAGCGATGAAAGATAGAGAAATAGGGTCGAAAGATTCATGATAAGTGATTTTTCTAACTCTTGTCAGAAAGTGCTGCCTTGTGGGCGTGGGGGTTTTTTAAAGAAAAAAAAAAAAACCTGTTGTGGGCAGACCGAGCTGCCAGCAGGGTCTCTCCCACCCCCGGGCTGAAGAGTAGCTGCTGCCTCAGGGGGCCAGGGACGCTGCTGTCGACTGCTTGAAAATTGGGGATCTAGTTGGTGTGAGTCAAGCTCTGGCAGGGATTTCAAGGCTGCTCACACCGAGTTCAAGCCGAACACTGCAGCTTTCCTTCAGGCCGCGTGTCGCCTGTTACCTTCCATGTCCAACTCCGTCCATCAGTAGGGTGGGGAGTAGGGAGGAGGGCAGCCCTGGGGCTGGGACAGCGACTGCAATGGGTAGATTGGTCCTTGCTAGTTGTTCTGGAGGTATATATGGATGTAAATATATATATAGTGTGTGTAAGTGGTGTCTGCTCATGGAGCAATATCCATCCGTCTGGCTGTGGCAGGGACGGGGCTTTGGGATGGGCGGTGGGATGCAGTGAGCTTCCTCCTCTCTGCACCACTGCCTTTCCCTGGATGCTCCCTGATGCTCTCGTTAGGAGCGATAACGATGGATCCCTGCCTGCTCACCTTCCCGCTGTTCCCGCCTGCATGGCTCCGACTCATCCCTTTTCATACCTCCTGCAGGCTGAGCGTGCTGAGCCCTTCCTCGCCCGGGGACCGGCATCCTCCTCCTCGTGCAGCCTGAGCTGCCGTGGCTGCAGTCAGGCCAGCTCTGCACAGACAGGATCCCAGGTCCCTTCTGGGATCAACCCAGGAGCAACCTCTCTTGATAACAAAAACAGGGAGCTGGTTTGCTTTTGAACCCTCACCGATACTTTTTCTTCTCTTTTTTCCCTTTGTTTCAGGAGAAGAGGACAAGAAATGAATGACACAAAGGAAACGCTCCTAACTAAAGGATCCCTAACTTGTAACTCGGACTGAAGTCTTGCATGCATGACCATCGCTAGAAGCCAGCAGGACATGCATGTGTCCGACTATCAGACAAATGCGGGTGAATCGTCGAAAAGAAAAATACTGATTTTGTTTTGTTTCGTAGCTTTCTTTTTCCTGTACATAAGAGTGCAATTACTGGACAGCTGGCGTAGGGTTTGGGGACGGAGCTGTGTGGACCTGGGTCATCGTAACGCGATTCCTTGAGGATTTGTTCCTGCAAAATTTGAGACCCTTTTTCCAATTTTCACCCGGATGGGTTGAGCTCAGGCAAGGCATCCTTCACAGGAGGTCAAGGGGGGGGAGTCGGGATTTTAGGCAATGCGCTGAGCGCGGGTGGGAGGCTGCGTCCCCCAGCCGGGCAGGATGCACGAGGGCAGCTCACGGGGCTGGGAAGGGCTTGGCAGTGGGCGAGGGCAGGGGAGGGAGGCGAGGGCGCCGTGGGTTGGGGTCACCGACCCTCGATGATGTCCACGTTGTCGGTGGCTGCATCGCTGCAGCTGCTGCGCTCTGCTCCGGTAGCCGCTGTGCCTACAGGCTGCAGCAGCTGAAAATAGCTTCAAGGTGTGACCACTGGTGGTGTGGATCTCGCAGACGTGTGTTAATACGTTGAGGCCGGGTGCGTGTGGCGGAAGGGGAAGTTCTCCCTATTTATCACACTGTCCTGTTTGATCCCTGTGTTGTGGAAAGCCCTGCACCTTCTCAGGCTCATCCGACACCAAAGTGCGATGTAGTCTTGTCGGTTCTCCTCCGTCCGACGTCTGTTAGATCCCACCTGCACTATTTAAGCCATAGCCATCTTCCTCGTAGGGGCAACCATTTAAGGCAAAGCATGGGGATGACCGACTTTGCATTCCTCATGTCTACCGCTCACTCCTGGTCACGCTTTCCATACTCGGTTGATTTTTAACTATTTCCCTAGCAGGAGTAGAGCTTAAGTCCTTAGGAGCAAGTCCACAAGTTCGTGTCCTCTGCCTTGGAGGACATCGCTGTCTTGCACAGGGCATCCTTGACACCAGTGATCTGCCTTCGAGACGGGAATGAATGTATGCTTGTACATAACGTAGTCCTTCTCCGTGAGCGGTGTTTGTCATGGCATCCCTTTTTATAAGGCATCAATTTTATTTTATCCTCCTGGGATTTTTCTGCAGCAGGAGTGACACAGGCTGCAGCGAGAGTTTGTGGATCAGGAGTAGATTTTGGGATCCAGTAAACTGATCTTTCTCCATTGAGCTGCGTCAGCTGAGGAGCTGATAGCAGGTGATTTCTTCTCCAGCTCTCCAAATCCTCCCTCCTGTTTTCCTCACATTCCCCTGTGATCCGTCCTGATGATATTTAGTTATCCAGACCCTATATCTTTCCTTTCTCTTAAATTCCAGCAACAGCTCTAGAGCCCGGTTTTTGGATAGCATTTTGCTCCTTTGCTGTTGGGTTTTTTCTTTTACTTTTTGCCTTTTAAAAGCTTCCAGTGCTTTTCTGTTTCTCTTTCACCTGGGCAAGAGCTACTCTTCCTCTGTACAGTAGGTGCCAAATATCATCCTTCCTTTCTTTTCTCCATCACCAGCATTGAAGATGAGCAGAGCCCCCAGACCAATGGGAATGTACAGAATTGTTATACTACTGAGCTGATTTAACTGTACAGAAAACCTTGCATGAAATGTTGTTACTGTATTTAATATATAATGTATTCAAGGAATTTTAATATGGAGCTCTTTAAAAAGATCTTTATAGACACTCTGTGGTTAGAAGATTGTTGCTGATTTTTTTTTTAATATTATTATACTTTGTCTTGAAGAAGTTTTATTTTTCAAATGTGTTACGTCTAATTGATTTAATTGGTGATCCCATGGGGCAACCAATTCCTCTTTAAAGATTTTCACTGTGGATGAGACTCACCCTGGCGCAGAGGACCAGGGCATGACCCAGGTACTGCTTAAGCCTTCAAAATAGGGCTTCAGTAAGACTAACACTGTAGATGTGTGATTTGCCCTTCCCCGAAAGGGTGGATTTCACCTTGTTTTAGCACAGATCACCTCCAGCTCTCTGTCC